TCGTTGGTTGTTGTAAACCAACCAGCAGGCAGTAAGAAAAAAAAAAAAAAAAAAAAAAAAAGAATACGCAAAGAGAGACTCACATATAATTTTTTTTTTCCTCAAAAAAATAAAATCCATAGTCCATATGAGACAAGAAAACTCCAAACAGGCACTGAAGCGTTTCCGATACAGTACAGCTCCGATTACATCAATATTATTCCTTATATAGAATTAAAGATTACCATAATTATCCTCTTTAAAAAAAAAAAAATCCTCCAAATTTACACAAAGAGAGACTCACATATAATTTTTTTTTTCCTCAAAAAAATAAAATCCATAGTCCATATGAGACAAGAAAACTCCAAACAGGCACTGAAGCGTTTCCGATACAGTACAGCTCCGATTACATCAATATTATTCCTTATATAGAATTAAAGATTACCATAATTATCCTCTTTAAAAAAAAAAAAATCCTCCAAATTTACATATAGAGACTAAATTTCTACAAAACTTAACAAAACAAACCCCCTCCAAGCCCGGCTGGGTTCTGGAACAAGGTACCATCATGCCAGTCTTGACAGAGGGGCCAGACAGAAGGGTTGCAGAGCTGGGTTTAAATATGAGCTTAGACCAGGGAATCGCTGCCCGCGCAAGCCGGCACGGACGTGTGGCCACTGCGACTGCAGCAAAACTAGTTACATGACAACCGACTCAAAACTAGCTCTCTCTGAGGCTCAGTGCTTCCAGATGAGCTGTATCCCTCACTCCCCTCCCAAAGCAGTGAAGTGCTGATTTAAAAAAAAAAAAAACAAACAACAAACCAAAACAAATAAAACCCAAATTTGCTTTTAAAATATGCTGTAAGTTAATTTGGACACGCTTTGAGTTGTTGTGCATGCTTGACATCCATGGCAATTAAAGGATCCCTTTAAAGGTGACCGTTCCTCTGATTTAGCTGTAGATCGGAACCTCCTCTCTTCCTAGAGAGATGGCCCTACGGGCTTTTTTTTTTGGGTCTGTGGCAAGACACTGTAGCACCTTCACAACCTTAAATAGTTTAAAGTCATATATATAAAATACACTTTTTTAAGAGCACCAGAAATTTCACAGTGAGAGGTAGAAACAAATCAGACGAGCCCATCCTCTCTCTCTATTTTAGCACCAATCTCTTCCCCTCTCCTCCTTCCATTCCCCCCTCTCGGCTTCGGGACTCTCCCCTACCCCAACACAACACATGAGAAGGGATGTTGATTAAACTCACCCATGGAAGGAGGAACATTTTTTTTTTTCTGTTTTTTTTTTTTTTCTTCTTTTTCTTTTTTGCTTTAAATAATATAATATATATATTTTGTTTCTTCTAATATTGCACATCAAAATGCTTCCGGTACACAGAGCAGCCAGATTCAACTTGCAGCTCCGCCTGGGAGACCTGATGCAGCACGTGGCCATCCAGAAGGCGACGAGCTCTGAGAGGGAAGCTCTATCTTTTAATTACTTTTCAATGGAAAGAACATTTGGTAACTCAGGAACCAGGTAAGATGAAATGGGGGGCAGCTGGGGTAAAAAAAAAAACCACAAACTAAAAAACCAAACCACACACGCTGCAAGTTGCTTGAGGTTTCTCTCAATATTTTCTTTGGTCATGGAAAGAGCTTTGTGTGTGGAATCGCTTGCAACATCTAGTCCCCTGATCCCTTTTCACTGTTCACGTCCCGCCTGATACCCGCTTCCCCTACGCCCTTGTTATTCCTCCTTTCAACAATCTGCTGAGTTCAGTAGATCACGGGTTCTTTGAGACCTTGAGCCAAAGGCTAGAGCAAGAGTTGACCCAAAAGATACAGCCCAGCTGTCCTTGCTGCAGAGAGGTGGGAGAGCCTGTGTAAAGACATAGGCCAAACGGGGGGTCAAAGCCTTGGAGCCCGGTTTCGATGGCTTTGTTCAAAGGAAGCACACGGGGCCGACCTCGAGGTGATATTGCTTTCCTGGCTCGGATGGGGGAAGGTTGTAGATGTTGACGATTGGCAGCTGCTGGAGGTCCTGTGTCCGAAACGAAAAGAGAGTCCGATGCCACCGTCCATCCTTGATCTGTGCAGGGAGGAGGGAAAGACAGAAAAAGGCGTTTAACTGGAGGGGGGCGAATCCCGCTGGAAAGGAATGCGTTTCACGAGGGTAGAAGCTTGAAAAGCCCTGCGTGAGACCAGGGGCTGTCCTTTGGGCTGAGCAGGACTGGGGTGAGGCTCAGAAAGCACTTTGGGGAAACCTTTATCCAGGTTGAGTTGATGGAAACTGAGCTTAAAACGGCATCAGCAAACACAAACTCGTAATGCGGCAAACCCGAAATGCAGCCGCACGGCTGCCGCCTCAGTGTGCCATCAGGACGAGCCGAGGCCGTCGCCTTCGGGTGGCAGTTCCCCCTTCTGCCATTTAACTGCTGCTACACGTGACGCCTAACTTGGGAATTTAATCTTTGCTTTCTGTTTGAAGGCGATCTACTTAACAGGAGCCACCATAGCACCTCGGACTGGAAAATTAAAGTGGTGAACAGGTAAACTAGACCCTTCTCCCCCTTCTTTGGGGGAGAATAAGAAGCACAGGTGTAACTGGAGTCTCGCCGTGTGCCCTGAGTGGGTTCAGCCCGGCGTTTCTCTCCACCTCTCCCCGCTTTCGCAGCAACGTACCTTGCAATCATCAGCTGCCACTTCTGGCCGGAGCTGCCCGTCTGCCTCAAACATCTGTCCGTTCCAGGCCCTGAAGCGCACGGCTTTTTCCGACGGTTTCTCGGCTGATCCTTCCCGCCAGACGGAGGTATTCAGGCAGTGGATGGTGATGTGCTGCACCACCTCTGAGCTCAGGAGGCGGAGGAAGTTCATCTGGACTCTACCGATGTCAAAATCCAGCTGTGAAGGTGACAGAGATGTTAGGGCGAAGCCCCTGCAGCGGGGCTGGAGGGAGCTAGCGCAGGGTTAGGCCAAGGTGTGACAGCAAAGGTGGTCTCTGTACTCTGCTTAGGTCTGGAGGCGGCCATGCACGGATGTCCGGAACTGGATCTGGCGTGAGTATGGGCATAAGGGCCAGATGCCAAGTCAATCTGGAAAGTTTTCATGGGGACACAGCAGGTCCTTTATTTTTCAGAACAAACTGGCAGGTCTTTAAGTAGGAGGAACGTAATGTAAACTTCGAATTCAATACACGCTTCTGCAAAGCAGCAGGTTCTAGGTCATCTGCAGATGAACCCAGATATTGTTATTGGTAGTTTTGGTACAGGTGCTTCCTCAAGAAAAATCCTGTAGCGTTAGCTTCACTGAAAACTTGTATATTGAAGCTGACCTTGCTTTCTCAGGTGGCAGAAAACAAAATGGGAGAGTGACCTGAACATAAGTTAATTCAACAAAGCATTTGGGAGCAGCGTGTTTGCAAAATTACTGGCCTCTGTTAAGGTTATGGGTTAATTAAACATTGCTGGAACTGTACTGCTCTGTCTTGACAAGAGTCAACAACACTCTTAGGTATATTTTTTAACTGCATGAGAGCAGTCCTGAATGTCAGAGCTACACCAGCTCTGCTTCGAGGAGAAACCAGCATGCTGTGTCATAGTGATCACCGTCTGGTGTTCTGGGACAACACCCCCCTGGGTAAATATTTCGTAATAGTAGTATGGGAAATGCCGTGCTGGGGTCAATCTGTGTGTACCTTGGAGACGGTGATGGGGCTGAGACACGTCTGCCCACCATTGGTGAAGTTACAGATGACCTGTATGGTGTCCGAGGAACAGCCAAGATTTGGGTCGATCCAGTACATACCTGAAGAAATGGAGGATTCAGGGATTAACAAGGACACTTAAACTTTTCTGTGAAGGAGAAAAGGAAAGTTTTGATTTCTGCATCACTGGTCCCAGCCATGTGAAACGGCCTTATGGAGGATGCAGCCTTTGCACACTCAGGGCTTCCTACCATCGTTCATCTTCTGTTCACAGTTCATGAGGTCTCGACAGATGCGTGCAGGGTTTTCCTTGGTTCCCAGGGGTCTTTTGATGCTCTGAATGAGGTTGCTGAGGTAGTGTAGAGTCTTAAAGATCTCCCCTCCGTGGTCCAGCATGAGAAGGTCTGGATGTTGGTAACCCTGGAGAGGAAAGGAGGCAAGGTCAGTTGGGCCTTGGGAGGCACCGGGTGCTGTAACCACGAGGGTTTCTGCTTTATCTCTGGGAAAACTCGGTCTGCCAAAGACAGGCTGTGCCGGCGAGCCTTGCACTGTCCTGAACAGGACATCTCTCAAGCGCTGGCAAAGTCACAATGGCAATGCCATGAGGTTTGAAGCTTCACAAATGCGTAACGTAACAGAACCACATCCTTTAACTGGATCTTTTCATGCATAAACCCCAGATATTCCATGAGAACAGTGACAAACCAGAGCTTTGGGTGTATAAACTTTAAGCACACAAACGCTGTGACCGTCGCCTCCTTCCAGCTCCAGCAAAGACCAGTGAGTTCAAAAGTACCCTCGTACCTCTGTCTTGAACGCGGTGTTTGAGTCGATTAGCGTCTGGAAAGCTGCCCCAAAGCCGTCTTGTTGCTAGAGTGGGGTGAAAAAGATGGTAACTGAGATTGTTAGAAGCCAAACGTGCCCTGATGCAAGCAAATGCTTCTCGGTCTAGGGCTGCGATTCAAGTGTTGCTCTGCTAACACAGCATCTCTTGCTGGACCTGAGTGTGTGTCTCCAGGGTCCCAGCAGCTCTTTCTGGATGTTCCATCAGCACCTTGGCTCTGCATGACTTATTACCATCATTAACAAACGTATAGAAAACAGCAACTTACAAATGAGGCTGGAATTCCTGGTGGTCCCTAGAAATCAAAGCAAAAAAAGGGGCATCAGCCAGAAAGATGGACAGTCACTATTGCAAAGATATCCAGTCACGTCCTTTTGAAATCCTCTTTCCCCTGGAATCCCTCAATGCAGATGAGTGAGAGAGGCAACAATGCTGTCTCTATAAAATACTTGGAGATGGTCTGGACTAAAGCGCAAGAAACACTAGTCCATTCACACGCACAGTTTTGCATACGAGGAATGGGGCAAAGCTATAATTTCCAGTGAGTGAGCAGTTCCCTCTGGAGAGTATCACGGGAATAATTTTAGCTTGTTTCAATAACGTCTTTGAACTCTTTCCACATATACGTACCGGAGGGCCAGGGTGTCCTCGTGGGCCTGGAGGACCCTTAAAGACAGAGTGGCATCGGTTAGTGAAATGTCTCCAGTTTGTATTTCCATTTCTCATGGTTGTCACCAGCACGAATCTGTTCCCTGCTGAAATCCTCCAGGTTTTTGCCATTTTACAGCATCTTCTCCCTCAAACCCTTCAGGCGATGGCCCCATTTCCTCTGTCTCCCAGCTCTGGGTGCATCTGTCTGCACTGGTCCATTTCTACTGCATCCCTTGCTCCCAGCCCTCTGCTCCTTAACTCCCATTAACGCCACATCCCCAGGTATTTATCACATTCCCCCTGTGCACAATTACCCACCCTGCAGCTTTACATTTCCTAAAAGCAACTGTTTTATTTAAACACAAGATACTAGGCAGAAAAAGTGATTTCAAATACTTACCCTTGGACCTTGCAGACCCTGCAGGGAGAAAACAAAGAAAAAAAAAAAAAAAAAAGGAAGAAGCTGTCAGAAAGTGCTCATTAATAACCCAAAATCTCCCCGTGCAGCCACGTGCTGTTCCCCAGGTGCCTGCGCAAGGGCTGGGTGCTGCACTGGAAGGACAGTGAAAACAGGGGCCCAGTGATGTCTGGCAGTGGCAGAGAGGTTATTGCAGCAAAGGATGCTGATGGCCCTGACACCGGCAAATGCTGGCTCTGGGGCTCGGGTCCCCGCCAGCACGCTGTCCTCTGCTGTGCCCACGGAGCTGGAAAACAGTGAACAGCAGAGGCAGCACTCCGGCTTGTTAGAAATATGCACTGGGATTTGGGGTATCTGTGGGGCATTTGCTTATAAGAGGTCTCATTTGAAGAAGGCATGAAACAGCGCTAGCCACACAGCCATCTGCACTAGCCACACAGCCGTGTTTCCTGGGCTCCCATGCCTGGACGAAGCTCCCGCATGCAGGACCAACCGCTGGTTGCTAAAGGAGGCAACCCAGAGAGCAGGGGGACCCACGTCATGGGTACCACGGAGGATGAACTACACATATCCGGTACACCCCACACCTCCCCTGTATGGTGAGAACACCAAGGAGCTACAAGAAGGTGTAAAAGTCCATCAAAGCCCCTGCAAGAAGGGGACCAGAGGAAGAGCAGAAGGTGAGAAGGCGCAGCTGTGGGGGCTGCACCTGGGCAGGTCCTGTGTCCCCGCAGGGACAGGCTGTGGCTTTTTGAGCTGCTGTTCACTGCGGTTTGATCCTGGAGACACCACGGTCATCTCTAAGTGCTAGCTTTTGCTGTGTAGTTGGGTTAAGGAAATGGAAGTTTTAACAGCAGAGTATATGTGCACGCGTGGATGTGTGTGCACACACGTGCGCATGTATAGATGTGTATGTCTTGTCCTCGTGGGAGCCTGATGCCACCACACTGAGCCAGAGCCCAAGTGTGACTCTCAGATGGCCAAAGAGAGGGACTTTATTACCAGCAGGATGTGCCCAGGGGTGCGGACCAGCACTTACCATTTCTCCGCGGCTGCCTTTGTCTCCCTTGGGCCCCTGTTAAAGCACACGAGGCGGCTGTCAGCGACTGTTAGTGAGCTGCACTGCCTGGATGTGCCGCCACCCAGAAGCTCCTTGCAATGACCCAAGTGCATCTCTAAACAAATCAGCTCAGGTTGTGTTGGCTCACCCATCCCGAGGCAAACAATAGCCATTACTGGATGTTTTGGCAATGTCTGAGTTCATCTTACTGGTTTGCATCTCTGCCAGTAGCAGCCTCCGGACCGAACTCTGAGTAACTTCATGCTCGTGTTTTTATGAAGCACTGACCTGAACTTTAGTCTGTGTTCAGCGCCTTTGGCATTTTGGGGCAGGCAGGGATTTTCAACACTTCCCAGAATCAAGCTGTTCCCAGTTTACATTTATCAGGTTTTTTTGTTGGGTTTCCCGCCCTCCCTGCCGTGTTTTTTTGCTCCCCCCAGGCCAAGTTCTTTGGAAAATCTGGCAGCTTGGTTTTGAAAAACTGCAATAGCATTCTTGTCTTCTAGCCTGAGCCAATCTATCGAAAAACTTGCACTTAGGTAGAGTTGCTCCTCACTTTCCAGCTAATAATCTCCCTGCAACTATATATGCAGCCAGAGACTGAACCTGCGCTTCTCTCAAACTGCTCATCTTAAAGACCATTTTGTTTCCCTCGTTACAGCAGGATTTGGGATTTACTTATGCTGGCCTCAAGCATCTTGGATCTTAAACACTATGCTCTGCTAAAAAATACAGCCAGAAATAAAAGCAGATACTTACTGGGCTTCCCGTGGGACCCTGAATGCCAAGCGGACCAATAATTCCTTCTTTTCCCTAGAAAAGAAAAGATATGCGTGAACCATCACGTGGGAACTGACGGTCGCTTTTACCACGGCAGACTCAGTAAAGACACTGAATCTCTTTGCTGCTTTTCAGCAACATGATCGTGGTATTTGCTGCAGCTGAAATAAAAAACTGTTTCAAAATGCAAGTCCAAAGACACAAACCCTTACAGTACAGTTGTCACGACCCATGTAAAACCTCAGAAATTCCAGAAATAGAAAGATTTCAGTGTAGCTGGAGTGGTCTGTGCAGTGGGCATAGCAGCACGACTATCTCCAAGGCAGAAGTTAGACACGTGGTTACCTCCAGATGTGTTGGGGTGGCTCAGAGGTGGTACCACGGCCGTGGGTCGTCTGCCAGGCAGGCGGTGAACAGTGCGCTGTGCTCCCTAAAGCACCCTGTAGCCTCACAGAAATAGAGGATGGAAGAAAGAAAAAAAATCCTTCCAAACCAAACAAATTGAAAAACCACTCACCATGAGACCAGGCGGCCCACGTGGTCCCTGAATGCCTTTGAAACCGAGGTCTCCTGGGGGGCCCTGCAAGCAAAAATGAGACGCCAGGTCCCCTTAATAAACATACCCCACGTTTATGCCCTTGCTTACAGCTCTGCTCCAAGGACAGAGGTGCCGCCTCTTGTATATGGGAATGGGAAGATCCGGTTTTTAAAAAATTCTTTTCCCACTCCAGCTTTGCAAGCTCTTTACTTTCTACAGAAAACAAACTGGCCTCCCCTCACCAGGAAAATTATATGCTGATAAAATGAGTCTAAATTTCAAGTCAAGGCTCTCAACGTTAGGCACGCACATCGGTGTCTCAGTGCAGACTGATGACTGTTGCTGGAAACACAAGTGTCTGAAGGGGAGTTGGAACTAGATGACCTTTGAGGTCCCTTCCAACCCAACCCATTCCAGGATTCTATGACAGACATTCAGGCGTGGAAAACAGCTCCAGGGTCTATAGGACAGCCCTTTTCCCTCTACCCTCTACCCATTTTAACAGGAATAAGCTCCAACAAAGCATACGTAAACGCACACTCATTTAACAAATGAAGATGCATAAACTAAAGCAAGTTAATTCAATTTCAATAGGTTTTGCAGAGCTGCTAATAAAGTCTTTGCAACAAGTATTGCATTGTCTGTCCCCAGTAAAGCGAGACTAGAAAGCCAACTGGTCACAAGACAGCCTCTTACCTTTGGCCCAAACATGCCCGCAATCCCTGGAAATCCTGCCTCGCCAAAGTCTCCCTGCAAGTAACAGCCAAGACAAATACAAGAACAAAGACCAACAGTAAGTTCACATTGAACGGCTGGTCACTCGAAGACGCGCCAAGAGTTCAGCAGCTTCAGAGAAAGAGAAATCCATTAGTATTCTTCAGTCTAAGCAGGACTGATGAGAAAGAAGTATGAAAGCAATCTGAAGGAGGAATTACACAAGCATCAGGCTAGAAGCAACTCCAGAAGATCTCACAGACTCATAGATCACTGACATCTCATAGACTAAGCCTTTTTGCCCCCAAAATGGGAGGCATACCCACACTATTTCTAGCAGATGCTTGTCTAGCTTGGACCAGTCAGCAGAAGCAGGATGGAGAGCATCTACTCTGAGACTGATCTTGGAAGTTCATGCTGCAAAAAAATAGCCTCAAAGCCCTTTAAAACAAGCTCTTCTTTTATTTCTAGTATCAACTGGACTGACCTACTAAAGGATAATTTCAAACTATGCTCATTCAAGCTGTCAAAAGTGCCTTTCCTACAATATAACCTCCCACTCAAACCCAGGAAAACCGTGCATATCCCCGAATTCTTTTCCTATTCAACCCTGCAGGGATTTTTCCTCAATTTCTTACGAAAAATAATAATAAAATATTTGGAAGGCCATCAAGCTTGGATTAGCACATAGCATGCACTCTGAGCATAAAAAACCCACACTGGGTAGCATGTCCTTATATAAACACCCTCATTTCACCACATTTGAGATGTATGTCCTTTGATATTTCTGGGCTTCTCAGATGTCCAAATGCAAAGTGATTCAACGTTAAAAAAAAAAAAAGGGTCAGAAACATACACCAGATGATTCATCTGCAGTCTTAGGAAACATCAGAGATGGAAAAGGCTTGTTTGGACTCTCGGCAGGACTATGTGACCCATGCTGGATTGTACTTTATGGGATGTTTTACAATGTCTTGTTCAGCCCAGTTGTAAATGACTCAAGCGATGGGGTTTCCACCACCTCTATTACAAGGCTATTCCAGAGTCAGTCTAGAGACCTTGCTGTTAGGAAGTTTTTCCTGCAACGACAGTGAGAAACTGCTTGGCAAGAAAGGGCTTGGTTGGACTCGGTGGAGCATAAGAAACTTTCCAAGGATACAAATTGATTTAACTGCCATTTATGGATCCTGGAAAGGAAAACTGCTACTAACGGAGGACTAAGGTCTTTCACACATTAGGAGAACCAACCCAACCCTCTTTCTAGAGGAATTTTGGGCAAAAGTAAATGGGAAGTCAGAAGGGTTGAAATGCCACGGAGTCATCTCAGCTAAGGGGACCTGATCACTAGTTATGCAGCAAGGTGGGCAACGGCAATGCCGGGTAAACGAACCTGCCACTTGTGGACACAAGAAATAAAACAATACTGTTATGTTGTTGGCTACTACCTTTCAGCTTGAATGCTGCCATCACAGGGGGTTATATAAAATATACAAACATGTATATTTTAATTGAGGTAGTTGGGGATAATAATCTTGGTTTGTATTAGTCCTAATCTCTCTTTTCCTCATGTTACTTTTATACCTGTGGCCTAACTAGACCCTCTGATGGTGGTCATGTCCTTGGGTTGCTTAGTCTGTCTTGGCAGAGGAATGGTTGCATGATGACTGCGTGTGTCAGATGGTTGGAAATCCCACTGCTGCAGAGATGCTGAGCAGATAGAAGGTATATTAGGAGAGGTTTGAAAAGGTCCCTGCTTGGGGGTTTCTAAAAGAATCATAATAAGTGAATCTAAAGAATTTAAGTAGTTACAGCCTTGTGAGACTCTGTGAGAGTGTCTTCTGGCCTAAAAAACTCCCAATCTAAATAGCTTAAGTATTCTCAATACAGCCTCAGGTTGATAAGGCGTGACATGTCAGTGCTAAACTGGGCAATCCCACCAGTACAATAAATAAAAGCAGTAAGGATTAGGAGCCTGCCTTGGAGACACTTGTTGGAATTTAACTTCTGCTTTGGCCGAGGGCTCTTGGTGTTTCTTCCACAATGTGCTCTGAGATCGCAGCTCCACTGCCCTCAAAACTGCAGTGATGATGTCTGTTCCTGCATGTCCCAGCGGAGCTGCAGATCCTCCTCTGCACCTTTTGGAAGGCTTGGAGTGCATAGTTCCCTTCCTACACTCAACACCTCCTGCAGGCTCCATGCACCGCTCTCACAATGTCTCGTTGAAGACCCTCCTGAGGGTGTTTGAGATGGCTCCGCAGCCTGGCTGCCAGCATGTACCACAGCCTCGTCACCACGGGCATGAGGATGACATGAACAGTCATGTCACCTTGGGGAACGCAGCACAGATTAGACATCTCTGTGCACAAGTGAGCACGTTGGAGAGAACTGTGCGACGCTCCTGCACTCACGCACAAGCTGGTTATGGGTTCCCCTGCAAAAGACCCTCCCAGGGTCCACCCTGCTATCCCAGCTCATGGATCTGCACCCTCTCCTGCAGGAGATAGCTTGGAGTCAGGTCTGATCAGCTCAGTTCATCACTAACCGGCTGTCCTTTGGGTCCCGGATCGCCGGGGCTCCCTGGAAGGCCTGTTCCTCCTGGTGATCCTCGCTTCCCTGTTTGGCCAGTCTGTCCAGGCAATCCTCTTTCACCCTAAAAATAACAGAATTCAAGTAATTCCAAAGGACAGGAGCTAAATATAACAACAGTCAGCTGAAACAGCCATAGATGGAAAGCTGGAAAAAAGTGGCTCATCGGGATAAGGAATGTGGTTTCATCAGGAGATGCCTCAGGTCTGCTAAGGAGGATTATTGCAGGATTCACAGCGTGAGACCAGCGATGGGCACGGCTGCGTCCCCTCCTGAGCTTCACGCAGAGCAGGAGCTTCAGCAGAGCTGTACTGCCTGCGTCAGGGCTAAGGACAGCAAGGGGGTGAGATGTCTTCTGTTTGCACTCCCGTGTGTTGTCTGTCCTGCCCTGCAGTTTCTCATCATCTCTTCCCCCCAGCAGGCTAGCAATTGATGATTAATCCATCTAAAATGTTGAAGACATGCCAAGACTTCAGCTGGAGGACTTCAGTCCAGAGGCTGAAAAGCCAACATTTTCCCCAGCACCAGCTCCACAACTTAAGGACAAGAGAGGGGCTTCTGAGACCCAGCACCCCACTTCACTCCCCACCTCTTCCCAATGCACAAGCCCCAGCTACTCGCTCTGGGGCAGACTGGGAGAGAGAAGCAAAGGCATCGAGAGCCTAGGATGGCTGAGCAGCTGGAAAAGGGGCAACAGATTTCCCTGGGGTATGAGTCTGTCGTAATAACATGAGGGTCTTTCAGTCATTTCTGGTAACAGCCTGTTATTCTACCCAAGGCAGCTGGAGGGCAGCAAGTGACAGTTTAAGAGTGACGTGTTATGGGAGGCATAATTTAAATCAGACCTGATAGCCTCTCCAAACCCAGCGGGAGTCTTCCTATTTACAGAGTCTTTCTACAAACAGCTCAATTGCTGTTGGTCCAGTTTAGATCCTGTGGCCAGCGTGGATCAGGGCAAGGACCAGGGAGAAACCCCAAGGTCACAAAGCAGCTTGTCCCCGCTTCCACCCAGAGCAATGTCCAACCTCATACTGGTTCCAGCTGTTCCAATCCAGTAAATATATGCTAAAACACAAGCGGCACAAATTTCCCTTCAGTAGTTCAGGCCTTGCAGGGCAGCAGCAGTAGAGGATACCCAAATTTCCTATGGAGTCATCTATCCTGGACGTCCTACAGGCAGGCCGTAGCAGTTCCTTTGCAACTTCTCCAAGGCCATGTGTTTTTAGGGAGGTTTCTAATGAAAGAAGGCTGAAGAGTTGGTAGTGTGGGTATGTGTATCTGTAGGCTCCTGAGCTCAGTGAACTTTGACAAAAGAGGAAGGGTCTCTGGGACATTCAGCTGCTGTGAATATCATGAAAATGGATGGATGGATGAGGATAAAGATCTACTGAGCCTCTAGCTAAGTGAAAGAAGGCAGCAAGAGTTGAGGCTTTATTAGATCTTGAAGAATCCAAGCTCTAGAGACACCAGGCTCACAGACTGGATTGTTTGTAGGGAGTTAGAAGCTCACCTTGAATCCTGGTGGTCCTTGTGCCCCAGGGAGTCCTGGTATGCCAGGGTTCCCTCTTTTGCCTGACATCCCTGTCACACCTTCTTCCCCGTCATCACCCTGCTCTCCCTAGAAAAGAAGCCCAGAAGAGGTTATGAAAAAACACGCTCTTTCCACCTCCGCACAGCTGCTTAGGGGACAGGGGCATGGTGTGATTCTGCCCTCAGCAAGCACCATGCATCTGGGCATGGGTGGATTTGCAGAGTCTGTGCATGCGAGTATTTTTCAGGCTAGAAACACTGGTTTATCTACAGACTTGGCCATGCGAAGGCAGCTGCCTGCTTCTATGTGCATGTGAGATATGAAGAGCAGCATACGATCCACTCTGGGTACATGTAAACTGGAATATCTATAGCTGGACTATATCCATTTCTCCTGTGTTACGTTTTAGATTTCCAGCTCCTAAGTTGCGTTTGCTGTTGATGCTATAAGGTCACAACTGCAAACTCACCAGCATCCCAGGCACGCCATCCTTCCCAGGCACCCCGTCCACTCCAGGGGCACCCTCTTGACCCTGCCTTCCCACCACTCCTCGAGGACCTGGTAGCCCAAGGATGCCCTAAAATCACAAAGGTGTTAGTGATGGAGCTCTCAGACAACATTTGCTGGGGCAGAAAATTGAATTTTTACCTACCGGTGAGCCTCTACTCCCTGCATTGCCCCGTGCTCCTTGCTTTCCTTTTTGACCCTGCAAGTAAAAAAAAAAGACATCTAAAATTGCAGCAGTTCTAGCACAACTCCACTTGGGAGCCTGACTTCAGGGTGTGCTTTTGGATAATGGTTGGAAAGAGTTTTATAAAAAGGAGATTTATAAAGCCAGTTGCTCCAACACTGGGGAATGAACTGCTATTTGGTTTTATTACAAGCGATTCTTCGTATGTCTTGAGAGTTCTAGGGCAGGAATGAATAGCTAGAAGGCAAGGACCTACATTTTTCCTAATACAGAGCAGATGAGGACAAATAAAGCAGGATGAACTCGAGGGAGGACTCAGTGCACTGGCAAACATTAGAACAAGATGCTTAAAACCTGCGTCCTCTGTCAGTTCATTGAAAGCACAATGCTGAACCAAGGACCCAGCAAATCTTCTGCAGGGCGTTCAGTACGAGCCTTCCTCTGCGAGGCAGCTCCCTCTATTTTGGAAAGTTAATGGAAATGCAAAGGGTATCTTGTGTCTAAAACTTGCAATGCTGCTTTGTGAATAAAGACGTAAAAGAAATACTCCTGAGGTTTATTAGCTGTAAAAAGGATTAATTTCTGCAGAATGAATGGAAAACTCAGCCTCATCACCTTCACTAGGGCTCTCTTAGTGAGGTCATGTACTAAAGCACTTTTAAATTGAAGCCCTGCATTTTCTGTGCATTGTTTCTCCATCTGCAGTGGACCAGGCAGGCCAGCAACATGAAAGAAATACTCCTGGGGGTGCTTTCTCTGCTATTCATTAGACCCAAAGGCAATTCCAGATTGTCCATCGATGGGTAGAGTTTATTTATCTTATCACCTGGTACGCGTTTTGCCAAGAACACCTACTGTAGGTTAAACTATCTTCTGGCATTACCCCAGCAGGGTCAGATTAAAAATCCTGACATCCGCCAAAAGGGAGCAGGAATTTGCTGAGTATTGAGGTCACATACTTATGTTTTAGCAAATAAAGTCCCTGATCTGTGAGAATAATTAGCAAGCTGTCATTACAGCCAGATGTGGAGGTAAGAGTAGGTATGAGGTATCCCAATGAACCTTGAAGGACCCATGTGTACTGCGTTTTCTTGCATAATAAGGGCAAGAAGTTAGAGGGACTCTTCCAAGAAACATAAGAACTGCATGGATAAATGGACTCCAAATTTGGAAGATTTCAAGCCAGAAAAGTTTACAGTTCAAGTGAAAGAGAGAGACACTTGCCTGGCTCAGATCTCCTTAGGGACAGACGAGCCAGCGTAGAGGCACCACAAACAGGGGCATGAGAAAGAGACACAACCCATAGCAATGACTAAAGACCTGCCCAAGATTCACCCATCATGTCAGAGCTGTAATTGTCTTGATCTTCTCCAGCTCCACAAAGCCAACAAACTATTGGGCTTGGACATTCAAATACATGTTTACAGCCCTCCCACTAGGTTCTCCACAGTCTTTCAAGGCGCAGACTGTAGGCCAAATCACACATGCTGGGGAAAAACATGAGAGTCCTCTTAATTAGCCATTTTCTTTAAACTTGGGACACTATAAATCCACCCTGCTGAAACCTACCACATCACCTTTGGATCCCTTTGCTCCTGGCTGGCCTGGTGGCCCAGGATCCCCCTACAAAACACAAGCAAGAAAAATCTGTTTGAAATTCTCTTCTGCCAGTATCTTGCATGAAGTATAAAGAATGGCATTTTTTTGGTGCCCTAACAACGCTGACTGTGTGGAAACGATTCAGGGCAACAGCCTCTGCTCAGACAGGCCTCCTGGGGAAAAAGGAGCAAGGAACTGTCTCCAGAGAGCATTTAACAGGGTGTCACTTGGAGAAGAAGCAATGCTACCCTCCTCGCTTGGGTGGTGTTTGCAGTCGTGGAAATCATTCACTAAATTCCAGATGGTGCCTGGAAAACAGTGCTGAGAAGTGGGCAGGAAGGAGCCTGTTTTGAGAAAGGTACTGCAGAAGCTACATGCAGAACGAGTAGTTTATACAGTGACTACATCTTTAGTGTTGGTACTACCTCCCTTTCGCGTGCTGCAGCCCATTCCTTGGCTTAGCCTGGGTGTCAGATATTAGAGAGCTACCTATGGAGGAGTAAAGCAGAGAGTATTTCACTACTCTCTTACTGGTTTCTTCCCCATCACACACGTCTCCATCTTTTCTTCTGGCCATCCAGGTTTGGGGTTTTTTTTTGTGTGTATTTGTGTCAGGGGCAATTTCTAATCTTTCAGAAAAGACAGTTTTGGAGACAGGCTTTTGGGAGTGCTCCCTGTCCCGTCAGCATTTATTGGTCTCAATATGTGACTCAAAGCGCCCATTCTATAGGCCTGGCTTATGGAAGTGCATACGTTGCGTTTCACAGCTCACCACACATTCTGTACTGCAGCCCTTCCTACCTTCCTTCCTTTTTGCATCTGTTTTTCACATGCATGTGACATTGGGTAGCTTACAATAAAGCAGCATCTCTTACAGGTAAGCCTTGCTGTCCAGGTTTTCCTCTTTCTCCATCAAGCCCTTCTTGACCCTTAAATAAAAAAACAGAGAGGAAACATGTTTGTTCTTGGGTATTTTTGTGGCAATGGGGAACAAAAATGGATGTAACATGCTATATGGGGCAGGAGAAGAGATACATATCTGTGCTCTGCTAATACAGAAATGTTGAAGCTTGTGGGTGGTGTACATGCTCCCATGGATATGCGTTGGAAAGAAACAGCTAAGAGGAACTGCTAATTACCATCTAAGCAGTAACGAAGGCTTTCTAATGTGCCCCTAAATACACACGGCATTAATGTAAGTGAACAGTTGGAGACTGCTGTCCTACAAAATAAGGCAGCAGCACTGCTACCCTGGTGAATTGAAACTTTGATATTACTGTAATGGGTCGCTCTGACCAGTTGCTTTTGGATGGAGGTAAGACTTACTGCATAGAGCCTTTACAGATCAACACCAATCAGCTGGAGATGTCCTGTAAGGAGGGTGGCAGGAGCACAGGGGACTCATTCATAACCCTGGTCTTGCTTTTGAGAGAAATCCTGGTAAGATTTTGGAAGCTTCTAATTCTCCAAGTTAACAGAGATCTTCCCATGAAAGAGTCTACAGCCATGGGCACATCAGTCTGGCATTTTGTCTAGCATTGACATGACCTTTCTTGTACACTTCTTCCTCAAGATAATCACAAATCTTCTTCCTTGATAATCACAAATATCTCTAATGAGATGGTCCTGCTCATTCTTTCAGTCTACTGTGCTCAGGCAGGTGTATGGCACTGTGAGATGCTGACCTGCATGACCTACATTTGCCTTCAGCGAAATTTTTAACACTTTAGGTAAATATATCTGAATTGCTCCTTGTCTGAAACACACCCATGTGCAGCAGCTGACAAGGCAAAACAGTGGGTTATGAATCGTGACTACTGGGCAAAGGTTAGACCCTCTGTGGGCTGATGCAGATTGGAAGCACTTCCTCAAGACAAACATTTCTGAATCGTGTAGTTGGAGTAAGACTCACAGGATAACCAGGGTCTCCAGGCTCCCCTCGATCACCTCTGTCACCAACGGGGCCCTACAACAACACAACAAAGACTTAAGGTGGATGTAAACAATCTGTCATCTGCAATTTCTCAATGGCTTGTGCATGTTCTACAAGTAAGGAGGCAACCCAACTAGTCCACCTGCAAAAATCAGGCCAGGGTTGATTTGAGAAAGAATTTAACATCTTACTCTGTCTCCGGGTGGTCCCTGTGGTCCTTCTACCTTCCCATCATCGCCTTGTTCTCCCTGTGAATAAAAATACTAGTATTAATATAGACAGCAGATTATATGGCAGATGCTTCTGTACAGACACGATCCAGTCCTCCCACATCATGGGCTCCCAAGTCAAAGCCTCTGTTGAACTTACTATTTTTCATTCAAATAAACTCTAAAGGATTTTTTGTTTTGTTTCACAACCTGGAGTACACTGACTCTTCTCTTTGCTTTCCTGGTTTCTTTGGTGGTTGTTTCTGACTAGTGTAACTGTCCTCCTTACGGAACCAGGTGCAAAGAGTTATTTTCAACAATTTCTAAAACTAAGCAAGAAGCATGTAATTAGGACAATATGGGATATAGCTCTCCGCCTCTGAATTTTATTGTTGACAGTCAGACCAAACTCTTTAATCAAGCGTTTCCCCACCCTCACTGAGTGCTGCCTGGGCTGTCCTGGGAACAAGGGTGGTCTGGATGGGCTCCCTGGTCGTGTGCCACCATTATGGGCTTGCCTTACAATTGGTCAGGTGAGAGGGTCAGCCCCTTACACACTTGCTGCACGAGCAGCTCCACTCATTGATAGGATGCTCCCCAGCAAGAGCTCAGAGCTCATGGTTTGGTTGGTAGACAACATCACACAGATTATTTCTAACCAAGGTCTCTCTAAAACATCCATAGAGAGATCCTTCAAGACTTAACACAGACACTCTCTTTTTTTTAATTCAATTGTATAAGTCACTTGGGGTCACGGTGTCCTATTTTCTCTGGAGTCTAGCTCAGAGACGGCTGTTTCTTTGCTCCCTGCAGAAGATAGCTACATTCCAGATCCTCCAGTTTTTGGCTACTTCATATCACCGAGTCTCTGGCACTCTGGCTCCTTAGGATGAACATGTCTCAGAGCTCCTTGGATGTTGCAGCTACTGGAGAGAGGAGGTTTGGGGGGGGGGTTCTGGCACAGTGGAGCTGCTGTGTTTGGACTGCTTGGGGTGTTCCTAGAGCCTTGAACGTCCAAATCTCTGTAGCTATGCAGAGCTTGATGACAGTGGAATCTTCTTTCTCTGCTGCCGCAACATTTGTTGGATGAACATTGCCAGGATTTCAGATATACTCACAAGTTATGGTTATACTGTCCTTAAGAGATCGTGTGCTGGGTGGTGAACTCCAGCATACTTGTCTGGGGTTTTGGGGAGATATCATGGTAGAAGAAATATATAGGGAGAAAATGTGCCAGGATGGCTTGAGAATATAGTACTGAGCAATATGCATGGAGAAATTTGAGTGGCAGAGTAGAGAGAAAGGAAAGTAATGCCTACCAGGCTCTGCCAACAGCTTCATGCGCTACTGAACTTGCTGGCTGGAGTCAGCAGCAGAATACCTGGCAACTGGTTTGCTTTCTAGTCACTGTCAAAGGAATGTAGGATAGAAAGGAAACAAAGCCACCATTTCTCAAGTCTCAGGAAAAAAAAAATAAACCCCAGTATATGTGTTACTATGCAGAAGTCTTGGCACCAATTGCTTCTGCTCAAACAGGATGCAAACACCTTGCTGTTTGGGAGAGGAGACGAGCGTGATGAACTCAAGGAAAGCTCATAATTCTGGGGACCCTTGAAGAGCATCAAGACCCACAGACTTTCTCCCCAAAGCTGAGTTGTGGCTTTGTGTCCCCTTGAGTCTAACTCCCACCTTGTCCTTTGTCTTCTGAGAAAATCCTGCAGGACTGGTCAGGTCTGGGACTGTGAGACTGAGCTCCTCCAGGACTTCCTGATGCCTCAGCTGCTCAAGAGGGAGATGAAAGATCTGTGCTAATTCTTCGGAAAGTTGCAGTGAAAAAAAGTTGGAGTAAAGGGCAGCAAAGTAAACATGTTGGGATACAAATGGAAAATGCATGGAGAAGAAGGGAAGTCTTGTTGTTGTTGGCTCCTGTCCCAAAGTGAGATACACCAGTTTGTAATTTTTAAAAGGATCCCATCTGGACTGCTTTAAGCAGCTGCCAAATGCAGGCGTCTGCTCTGAGCAAGGCCTCTTTGAGGAGCTGTAAATGTATTAAACGCGGCAGAGTAGCTGGCTGGTATGGCACAAGGGAGCCGGATTCCCCAATAATGCCGCTTTCTTCTCTGGAAAGGGAAGACCTTCCCCACCATTATATATCTTCCTTCTTCAGCATAGCCATGTTACCACATTGTTTAAAGCTCACAGAGCAGTCATGGTCGCATTTTCATTTCCTCTTCATTTCTCAGATTCAGGCTTCCATTTTCACGTTCGCACGCATGTGCAAGGTTACAGAAGTCCAGAGGGTGGGAATCTGTCTGTCCTTACGCTGGGATCCAGGCAACTCTTAGGAGGTAAGAAGGAAGGATGGATAAGAAAGATGCTAGACTTTAGTGGAGCACCTGGATGCTTCAGGAAATGGTGCTGGGGGCCCAGCACATGATGTTGGTCTCTCCTTGTTCAACTGGAGCTGCTCCCCAGCAAGATGCCAGCAGACCCGCTGACCTTTGAGGAAGGTGTGAGTGAGATCCGGTTGTCAATGGTCATTAACAGATCTGACTGTTCTCAGCAGGATGCATTAGATGCTTTGGTGTCTTTGTCAGGCTTCAGCTTGGATACTTGCATGTGGAATTCATTTTATCATCCTTGGTTAACGTATTACATAGCGTTGCTGTGCTCTGATAACACAAGATCCATGTTACCTCTAAGAAATTGCTCTTCTAGTGTCCATTTGCAGAAGAATATTTTGTTGGTGAAGGGGAGGGTGCTTCACTGAACACATCAGATAAATCATTTGGGGACCATTTACTACTGAAATGATGGGAGCCTTCAAGAAGATGGTAACTTTCTACGTTTTAAAATAAAGCAGCAGTTGTAATTTAAACAAGAGAGACACATACATGCACACCTCTTACTCCTTCTGTAAAGCCAATGGCTGACTTTGCTTTTGGTAGACATGACTCACAACTTTTTGCCAGGATGCTCAAGTTCCAACAGTGGGACTGTGAGAAACCTCTGGCAAGGCTCTCAACTGACAATGTGCTTGTGAGTGAGCTCTCGCATTATTTTCCTGGGCTGGTTGTGCTTGGCTAACTCCTGCCACTTCCTGCACAGCCACTCAGCAGAATACACTGGAGGAGGAACACTGCTGAAGTCTGGAAGAGCAAGAGGTGCAGCTCAGGAAGTGGATGGGGCAGCGTTAGAAAGGCTGGGGGTGGAGAGGAAATTCAGCAAGGCAGCGATGGAGATGTGGAGCAGCAGGAACATCACCAGCTGTTCCTGTGCCATGGATGTGTTTCAGCAGCAGGAAATGAGAGAAAAAGCAGCATGACCATTGCTCATCCCTGAAGCAAAATTTCTGAGGCGTGTGAATATCTTAGTGGAACACAACAGTTCACTCTGCCCCACTGACTCCCGGCCACCAGCAGTTTCCAGGCAGAGCACAGAGAGCAGCGTGAACTGGGTGTCCTGACACCCAGGAGCCTGAGCTGAAAGGACACGTTCAAAGCCCCAGCAAAGACGTGCCCTTGGCACCGCTGTCCCACAGACTCCTTTTATAAGCAATGAAGCTCCTGCTTGCACATGTACAGCTGCAATCACATCTGTGTGCAGAGGGAAAAGCGAAAGCTCTCTTGGCGATGGGGAGGTGGAAAATGAGCGAAGAGAGTCCACCTTTGTGGGGACCCCACGACTGACCAGTCCCAACTACCATCACTTCCCTTCCCACACCGAGGGAGGGAGCATCGCTGCCGCTACTGAAGGCACGTGAGGGGCTCCAGCGGCACCGCGAGTACGGCCAACGCCAGCTGGGCTGTCCTCAGAGCGCGGAGCAGCCAGCTCCGCCGACAGGAAACCATTAAAGCGTGAGTCACTTCTCCAGCCTGAACTGGTTACGGCCGCGCTGACTCAGCAAAAGGGGAAAAACATAAGGGGAAAGCCGCTGTGGAAAGAGGGCTCTGACTCACGCCAGCTGCAGCAAGGGGGCTCGTCGAGGGGTGGGGGGACATGAGTGAGGTAAGGGGGTGGTGGGCGATGAGGAAAATGGAGCAAGGGCAATGGAGAGGAGACCAGTGCTGCCTCGCTTACAACACGCTATCAGCTGATTTGAGCACAGATGGACAGCTTGCTGAAGATCAGCTAGTCTGTGCAGGGTGTTATTCTGACTCGATCACAGAAAGGTACTAGTCTGATTTCTTTCGGCTTGGGGATTGAGCAGAATTTCTGTGGATGCAGGAACAACGTGTCCCCAGAACGCATGCTGCCTGGCTCAGCCACCAGCACAAGGGCATGTGGTGTCAGGAAAAGACGTGCTAGTGGCACGGGTGTCCTGGCACTGATTTGCAGAAGTAAAGCTGCAGCAGGAGTTATGTAGGTGGCTGTGCTGTAGAGGAGGCACCTTTGCCGCAGGTAGAGGAGGAGAGCACAGATGCACGGGTGTTATGGCAGCGGGGCAATTATCTCTACGTCAGCTCAGCTTCCATGCCAATGTAAGACGAGATTGCTAAACTCTGCAAACTTACCTTTTCTCCCTTTGGCCCTGGTGGTCCAATTGGCCCTGGTGGTCCTGCATGTCCCTGTGGAGAGCAGACAGCATGTGAGGAGACAGGAGAGAGCTGTTTGACTGAAGGTCCTCCCTGGTTTCCTGCTGGATCTCACGAGCCCTGTGTTGTGCATCCCAGCATGGGTCATGGTCCAAATGGAGACTAGAGAAAGAACTAGACTGCACTCCAGATCAGCAATAAATCATAGTTTAAGAACGATTTTGCGTCCTGGAGTAGCAGTTTTGTTGCATTAGAGAACAGATAGAAGCTGGAGGATGGAAATAAAAACCTTACCTGGTAACCCTTTAAGCCAGGTTCCCCTTGAGCACCCATCCTTCCTGGAGCACCCTGGGGAGGCAAGCACAGAGAGCACCATGAGAGTAGTCCATAGGTATTACCCTGCAAGAAGAGGATGCACTGGGCTACGCAAAGCAAAGCTCAGCACCACATGGGAGTGCAGCCACCCGTACTCCTGGCCACTGGTGAGCTTTGCTGCAGCCATCTGAAATGCTCCTGCTTGGCTTTAATCTCTTACATTTGTTGAGTGACGCTACAAGTCCAGGCTATGTCTTTGCCACCCTGTAGCAACAGGTTCCCCACCACATTCAGATTTGCTACCAGAAATGGCCGCATAGTGTGTGCTCTTCATCTGCCCTTCTGGACATCTTTATATCTAATTTAGCCTTGTGCTAGGAAGTCCACCAGCGAGACCATTCTCATGCATGACCTAATCCTAAATGGTTGGGAGGAAACCTTTCGGCATGGGTTCTGAGGCCAAGAAAGGAGTTTGATGGGTTGTGATGAGGGCACTACACGAGCTGTTTATTGCATCTTGAGCAGACCGAACAAAAGGGTTTAAATCAAATCATCAGATTAAAGTGAATTGCAAACTTTCCGTATAATCCCATTTAGCATGGAAGAAAGCCCTTTCCACAGGACAGAGATGTGTTCAGTCCAGTCGACTGCTGCTCAGATATCGCTTTGCTTCCTTGTGAAATAATCCATGGAGGCTTTGCCAAAGAATATGAAGGGATGATATATGGGGAGGCCATAATTTTTAGGACAGGAAAACACTATCAGCAGAACCGTTACTCTATCACTCATTTGCTACTGTTCTGAAACATCACTGTGATTCCCAGTTCATTACTAACTCCTGCTTTTTCACTAAGTTCTATCAAATATAGTGCAAGAAGTTTCCTTACCAGCCTGCAGTGCATGAGGAGGTACTTATTATGTACCGCTGCTGTTCCAGTGCATGTCTCATGTGCCTAAAGCAAATTAACTTCCCTTTCCACCATACTATCGTTGTTCTCTCTGTAAGCCTCACCTTCAGTCCCCAACTCAAACCCTTTCCCATGCTATATTTCATCTTGCTGCAAGTGTTTTAGATAAGTAGATCAAGAGTGAGTGTAGAAACAGGGCAGAAGTCCAAGGCAGAGTTCCTTGTAACAACACAATTTGACTTGGAAGCAACTTTTGCCATGAGTGTGCAGTCTCCGAGGGAAAGATCTTAGCAAAAAATAGCTTATCAGCTCACTCCCTTCTACAGAAAAATCCCCAATGTTTCAGTCCATCTAGGGGGTTGTGAAGAACTGCCATGATGCAATGTGAGCTGGGTTCACGGGCCACCAACACAGCCACCACTATGGAGTGTCTCCTGTGCTGCTCAGAGCAAGAGTTAAGCTGTTTTGGTCCATTAAACCCATCTAACATCATTTCACTTTCTGTGCTCTGAAGCCTCTGCTGGACTCTGCTTCATTCAGGCCTGTGCCCACCACTGCTAGTCATGTTTCTGCATGTTGTGTTCAACCATTTGCAGAGCTCTTCTCACCATAGGTCCCAGGGTACCTCGGGATCCTTTAGGGCCTTGGTTCCCCTTTGGCCCCTCCTTCCCTGGAGATCCCGTCTCGCCGAGCTGCCCCTGGTAGCCCTTGCTGCCCTGCAGAACAAAAGCACTGGCATTAATGTAGGACAAAACTGCTTCTCCAGATAAATATCAAAGATGAGCAAAGAAAGGGAGATCCAGAGGAGATGTTATCAATGGGAGATGTTCCTACCTTCTGGCCAGGCTTGCCCTTTTCTCCCTGTTTTCCTGGTTTCCCTTCTGGTCCCTAGGAGAGAAAAAAAAGTTGTTTGAATGGGAAAGCAAAGATGTCCCATCCCAACCAGCCACCCCCAGGCCACTTCCCAGGTACAATCAACCCTAACTGTGTCCTCACCCATCCTATTCCCATGGGAGCCAACAAGGAGGCTAGGAATTCACGCAGGTAACGCCATAATTCACAGGTACTACAGCTGGAGTATTGCTGAGCTTGTTCTTGAGCTGCTCCAACACATGGAGAAGAAAACCTCATTGCTTAAAGGTGGAAAGGTCTCTGTGCCCAGGAGACTATAGGGTAACGTGGCTGAAAGGTAGTATTTTTCATCTTCAGATCACATGTCAAAGACAGGCAGGTGATGGAAAACTGCCATCTGATGTGTCCATCTGTCCTCAAGTGTGCAAAAGAGAGAGCTCAGAAGTGCTCCTTGAAGAAGGCACCCGCGGAACTGAAAAACGGTATGTACCCAGCCACTGCTACAGAAAGGGCTGAAATGCGGAAAACACGTTTACCCTGCTCCCCAGAAAAGGGTTCCTCTGCTCTGCAGACAGAGCTGCTACCTGTGCACCGCTGCTTCACAAACAGAGTTGTACCTGTCACCATCAGCTACGGCACTGAATTGGATATCAATAATTTTATATGGTTTTAGGATACCGGCAGTGGAACCATCGCCTCAACAGCCATTCTCAGTATTTTTACCTTGTGAAAACAGGCAGTGGTTTAACTTTCTATCTACCTGCCACGCACAGCCTTCCGCTGACAGTGCAAAAACCTTCCCTCGATTTGTATCATCATTACTGCAACACACAGCACATAGAAAACACCATATACTGACCAGGCATCTAGAAATGGAGTGGGGTGCAAAACTTCGGGGGGGAGCCAGAGCAACGAGAGACAGAAATGCTGACCTGCTTTGTGCACCGAGCATGGGTGCCTCGTGCAGCAGAACCTGCCGCCCCTCCTTGCATGCACGCAGCAGAAATCAGCTGTGACGAGCAACTAAGTATAGCACGCTCTCCTTAGGGAGCCCAGGGAGTTCATTTTTTCAGTGTTTGACCCCGTTGGCTGCAAGGCAGACAACATACTTTGGATTTGACAGAAAGAAGCAGAAATATCACTGAAGAAAATAACTCATGCTTTTTGGCAGTTGCGGCAAACTTTTCAACAGCATCTACACACCAGCACGGCATCTCTCCCTCTGCTCTCCTGCCTCCCAGTTAAGAAGGTATCATTTTCACCACCATTGATGTTGCAGAAAAATATCAGCCTCAGCTGAACAAAAGCAACTTCTAAAGCTGGCCGTATTGGAGGGTTTTCACTCCGATCTGAAACATGGGCCTCATAAGTGCCTGCTCTTAACACAAAGGAGCAATTCAGACTTATTATAGCCCTCAAGAATTGTGCCAGTTCTTCACTGCCCCAAAGGGAATAGCTCCATTTGACCCAACTCAAACATTTCAAGAGCCCACCTTGCCAACAGTATTAGAGCTTCACAACAGACAGGTCCCTGCCAAGGAGCGTGCAAGTCCTGTTCTGTTGTCTCCTCCATACTGCTCGGGGTTTTTGTTTGCTATGTTTTGCTGCCACTTTCCAAGAGATCACTTTTGGAATTATTTTCCCACAGACGCTGAGCAGCCACAACACGCGATAAATTGTGGATGCCAAGCCTTCAGTGTCACCCATGTGATTTACACTTTTGACAGAAGTACAGAGAAATCCTCACCCATAAAAGCATCAGCCTGGGAAATGGCCATCCCCACCCAGCTCTGCAGGAGCTCACCACTGGACCTGGTACCAGGTCCCTCAATGTCCCGACGTCTCCATCATGATGTGTTTAGCAAAGCAGCAATAATGCTCACAGAGCCTGTCCTGCAGCAGTAACGTAATGCTTAGTGGCTTGAAAATTTGGAGAGTGAATAGTGGAATCACTCACAAAAGTTTACCATCTAAACAATATGTGAATGAATAAAGACATAACTGGGATTTCTAATTAGTTGCATAGTGTTTTTCCATCAGTCTCCCTGGACTATGCACTAAGATCTTTTGGAAGCATGGGCAATAGATATTTCTTGCAAATAGGAGAAAGCCTGTTTTAAGCTAAATCTGTTCTTGGCCCTGGTGATGGCCAAGATCTTGATCTTCTCCAGCAGAGTCATTTTGCACACTCAGATGTGCTCCTGAATTGCTGTGCTGTAACAGCTCTTGAAACAGTGCATCCCTGGGATGAGGATCTGTTGCACTGTCTGTAAAAAATGCAGAGACCAGCGCATTGATGAGATGAACCCTTTGTGCAGGGCAGATGGACCCTCTTCACAGGGGAGGTCACAGGGATCTTGCAGCTACTTCCGAAGAGTTTGAAGCACAGCCTGGTTCCCCTCACCTGGATACATCTCCCATGGAAGCAACGACTGAAACTTGCTTCTACTCTGTACTGGTAAATGTCTTTGCTTTTTGAGAAGACAGGTTTGGGCCTCAAATCTTCCCATCTAAGAAACAAAATTTCTGCAGTGCTCCTAAAATCTGCCAGCATTCCAGTTCATGCTTGTACCCACAGTCATGAAGTACAAATGTAGGGTTAGATTCATCTGGGAGAGGGACAAAACCAAAACATAAACCCAACTTTGACAGTGCAGGACCTGCTCACAAAAATCAACTTGATCCACAGAAGATTGCGCTGTGTTCAAACAGGGTCTCAACTTTCTCTGGGTTTCATCAGCTTGTCTTTCCCTGTTGGTGGAGTCTGAACACTGATATGGGCTCTGATAAACTGCCTGCACCGGCTTTTCCCCTTATGATGCATTGGCCTCATTGAGCAGGGATGTTCATCTACTCCAGAAGGCTCTCCTGGGTCCTCCTCCAGCTGGGGTGCGGCTCCTTCTTCATTGCTGAAGAAAAAAAAATTGGCAGCATCTCCAACTCTTGTCACTGATAGCGAGACCAGCTGTCACTCGCAGTAAACCACGAAGACCTTCCTTTGAGCCTCCCTCACTGTTGTTAGCTCTCGTCTGCTGGTTAAAAGCTTTGCTGGTATAAATAAATGGGTCAAACTGTGCTGGTGACACCATCAGCAGAGACGTGGCTTGGATCTTGTAGCCTGAGTCACCTCCTTGAATGGAGTAAGCTCTATCAGCGAAGGATATTTCTGTGCTCTACCAGCACGCTTTCTAGCACTTAGGCCAGCAGAGCTCTGCTGGTGAGCGGGAAGCCTACCATATGTCTGATTTTGCTGGATGTGCTTTCTCCAACTGCACAGGAATTTTGCCCAGATGAATTTAGAGGCAGTTCAACACTTGTTTGGGGTTCCTAGATATGCAATATCTCTGCCTGGGATGTTCCAGATGTGGTTGCTATTTGTTGCAATCCCAGACGTTCGTTGGGCACATATGCAGTGGTTTGCACAATTCCCAGAAATCACCGCACTGTTACATGCCACACATTACACAGGCAATAACAAGCCCAGCAACAACTTTGGTAGCCTTCAAAAAAGATCAGATTCTTTTCCTCTCCACTTTTCTGACTCATCTGTCCAGGGATGGAAAAATCAGAGGCAGAACAGGGGGAAAAAGCAATTATTAAAATAAAATACAGTGAGATTGTAACTTCATCCGGGGTCTCCAAAATACATCAGGAACGTAGCATCTTTTCATATCTCTCTCACTGCGATGTGAAGTTCCTAGGGTTCCTACTCTCTTTAGCAGAGATGGCAATGAGGGGCAGAAAACGTACAAAAGCCTACACATAATAATACTTAATGCCAAGTTCTTTTTGCTAGATTCACACCAGTTGGGTTAGTGTATCAAGGCACTAAACACTCGATGCTTTTAGTCTCAGGTTTTTGTACACATTTTGTTACATGCTTTGGGTTACTGGTTTGCTGAGAAAACAAATCTTCTTACCAAACTTCTTCCATGAGTGGGATTATTTTTAAATGGTGATTCCTCTTTATACACTGCACTCTTCACTAAGCAGATCAGTATGTCTGGAAGATGATGGTATTTGTGACCAGGGACAGTGGAAAGCAGCGGCTTTACAAAGTCACATGCCTTCAGGTATGCCAAAATATCCAAGGAAAGCCAAAAATTATTATCCTAGGTCTAGCATATTTAAAATTTCATTCCCAGCTTCAGTAAGGACCCAATCTTATTATTTATTTTTTAGTATGGCCATAGATATTATCCTAAGGGAAAAGCTGGATGTTTATTTTCCAATGCAAATTGATCAGTTTGTAAGGAAAAAAGGGACTTGCAGCTGCTGACGGCCTTGGGAGCAAAGTCAGGTGTCTTGCAGGGCACAGCAGTAACATTTCTTGGGAGCAAATAGATGACCAGTCCGGCTTTAAATTCTCAAGACATCAACAGTTGAAATCTATGTTACACCAACAACATCCAGAAAAACAAAATAAGGGAGTTGAATGAACTGTAGAGAGATATGGCTCAAATGGAGCCAAACAACAAGCAGTGTTAAAATCCAGACCCAAACTTCCCCCGCACTGAGTGATGCTCTGCTATGCAATAGATCCGGGGAAGTGGTTACCGAGACGTGACTCACCATCCTGGTTTGACTCCAGGGGAACTGTGGCTCTTGGCACTTCAGGACAGGTTTCTGCTTTGCTTGCAGAATTACAGCACGGCACAGGAGGAAAGCTCTACCAGGGCACAGGACTGACGAGATAGCTTCCCAAAGCCTGTCTGAGGCAGGTTCAGGATTACTCAAGGACTGTCACAGAGCAGGAGCGTATTTTCAGATTTTTTGGGTGTCAGTAAATGAAGGTCTGAGGTCTCCTTACCAAAAATGAGGCAGGAAGAAATAGAAGAACCAGAATGCAGAGTAAAGAAAAGAAGTGCCAATGGTGACAGGAAAAAAAAAAAACCACAAAACAAAACAGGTGATAGTTTGAGGCACTGGACGTAGAAAGGACAGAAAAGCTAAAGCAGCAATAAAGGTAGGAAGCATGAAACATAGGATGACCATGCCCATATTGTTCAGGCCCCAGCCAGTGAGATCATTTAAAG